CTAGTAGTATGGCCAGGAGCCCCTAGTAGCGTCCTTGCTCCTAGTAGTCCACTTGTGAGGACTTGTCAGGGACCACTGCTGCAGAGCTTCAGGACAGGATGACACGTCGCATCGCTTCATCGCATGTCTCATCGTCTCGAGTGTTCCGCATCCGTTGAGTGCTCCGTCGGATCGTTTGCCAATGATGTTTGGTCTAGACTCATGTCGCACATCAATTTCGGACGCAGTCCGGGACTGCTTGAGAAGGGTTGCTTGGTAGTGACCTATTTCGAGGATGCAGAGTCCATGGCAGCCAGGGCGACCAGCAGGTTGAAGGCCGTTTGGGGGTCCCAGGATGAGCCGGCCGCCGGCGACCGTGACACAACTTCGCTCCAGGAGTGCTGAAAAGAAGGGTCGGAGTCCAGGCACAAAAAGTGGAGGAAAAGAAAGAACGTTTAAATAAATGAATTAAGTTTAAATAGTTTCTTGTTACTACTAGTAAGGCACCTGTTACTACTAGCGAGGCACTTGTTACTACTAGTAACATCTAGTAACAAGGAAGTGCATGCTAACCAAAAAAGCAGGAAAGAAGACCCTATAGAAGACCCCTTCTTCTAATTTCACTGGCATTTCATGGCATTCCCAGCTCGCCATGAGTCAACCGCCTGGGTCATGTGCCACTCGCGTTTCCCATCTTGCACATCTTCTGCCGAGGCGCAGAAGAGAGCTGCCCTGCTTGCAGCAGAGGCGAGCAGCAAACAGTTTGTTCCAACTAGCACATGACTTTTTACAATGAAAAATCGAGGATTGCGCAGCAGCTCCTCGATGATTTCTGCCGTTTCTCTTATTTGGTTTTCCGGCGTCCAGCCATACATTTCTCCTGTAAGTCCAGCGCGAAGAGGAACCAAATCGATCCCGCTTCGTCGCAGCCGTTTGGGCTCCAGTCGTACCTCAGGTATGACTGGACCCGCGTGGCACCAGCCGAAACGAAGCTATACGACATAAATTAGTCGCCATAGAAACAATGTTCGCTACTAGGAACAAACTAGTAGTAACAAGAAGCTATTAAAAACAATATATGCTACTTAGTAGTAACTACGGAGTATGGCAGCGATCAGCTGCCGAGCCGTGAGCCCCCCCCTCTGGGCCTCGAGCCGCTGAGGCACGGCATTTGGCCGCATCCCAAGACTCCTTGGAGGCGGGGAGTCGAGTGCAGAAAAGAAAGGAATCCGCTCAACTCGCAAGGGTGGGTCGTCTACGATGCCAAAATGGTGAACGCTTCTTGCTACGTTCGTAGCTTCTTGTTCCTAGTAAGGCCAGGAGCCCCTAGTAGCGTCCTTGCTCCTAGTAGTGATGCCAGGAGCCCCTAGTAGCGAACATTGTTCGTAGTAGTATTTTTGTTTGTCAAGAAGCACTTTTCATTTTGTGTTCGCTTCAGGCCGAGCTGCAGCGCCAGCGTGATGCCACGAAAGCATGGCAAAGCTGTGGGCAGAGCCCTTCCAGATGGCAACAAGAGCCTCGACGGCGAACTGTTTGGGCTCTTTCGGGTCGAGCAGCGGTCTAGCGGTAACAGACCTCCAAGAGCTTCCAAGTCAAAAAAAGGTCGAAACTACGACGCGGTTGTTGTTTCTTTTTTTATTTCTCTTCTCAAAAAAGGTCGAAACTAGCCGTGTCTTCTCTTTGTGACCGTTTCTCATCCCAAACCGCAACACCCAAAGCGTCACATACCGTAGCTGGGTTGTTGGGCGGTCTAGCTGGCGTTGCTTTGCGCCCGGTGTTGGGAAGGAACTTGGACCTAGAAACGGATGTGTGGAAGTTTTCAATGTGGCTGAAGCTGCACAACCCATTGCACCAGAATCCTGCTTATTCAAGGCCACACTTGTCCAGATGGTTGGGTTTTTTTTTGCAAGTTCAATTCTTCTTCACACACCATCCGTCGCACCTGCGTCTTTCCTGGCTGCCGACCGAACTGCAGGCCGATGAGGCATCCGAGACTTGCCGCTTGCTCGCCTGGAGAAAGATGGTGCACTGTAACAGCTTACTGCTGCACTCGATCCAACACTGTCGCTCTTAGGGAGGCCGCTCTTAGGCTTTGTGTTTGGCTTCATTTCATAGTCACTTCACGCTAGTCACGAGTAGAACACATGCCGTGGCACAGAACCCCAACGTCGTCACGGGGATACCAACGCCAGACGGCGTTCGGTGATTGCATGAAAATGGGCAATTTGTTTCCCTAGACGCTTCTTCCTTTTCGTTCTGTTTGTCCTTTTGATTTTCCTTTGGACCTTTGGACTTCTAGTAACAAGTGCCTTACTAGTAGTAACAAGGACGCTACTAGGAACAAGAAGCTACTAGCTTTCTTTAGACCTTTAGACCGTTTTTGCCTTTAGACCTTTAGACCTTTGGACTCTTTTCATCGCTTTTTCTATTTTCTTTTCTTTTCTTGTGTTCTTTTGAGCTATCTTGGGTGTTTGGATCATTTCGTGACGCCGCAGCTTTGTGCCCAATTATTTCTGGGACGTCGAATTTCCCGCCATGGGGTGCGGGAAAAGTAGGCCTGGAGAACCAGCTTCGACGAGTTGACGATCATCGTACTACCCTTTGCGGAGTTGGCCGCTTCCTACAGCCTTCACCTTACCTAATCCTTGCTCACAACGGGTGTCTTTAGAACAAGAGTAACGAAGGATACCACAGACCTATATTGGGAGCAAAGGGCATCGCTACTAGAGGCAACCGACGTCTTTTCGGTCCACCACTCGTGTCGGTGTTCTTGGCATGTGTCGACAGGCAAGAGCCAGTTCCTCCAGGGCAGTGTCCCTACCTGGCAGGAGCCTCAGGTTGATGGCAGTGTCCTTGCTCCGTTCGTCGCGATGCCAGGAGCCCCTAGTAGCGTCCTTGCTCCTAGTAGTGCCGAACATGGCGACATGATCACCATCACTCTGGATCCATGGCCCTTGGAGTCACAGAGCACAGAGCACAACACGGTGAAGTTTGGACCAGCTTCCATGCCCCACTCCCCCGATGGTGAAACTGCCACAGCACGACATTTGCATCGAGGTGGGAAAACGATATAAAGTTGCTCGGCCCTTGGAGCTTTGGAGCAGTGAGACCTTTGGCTGCAGCAAGTGCATCGCTACTAGGAACAAGTGCCTTACTACTAGGAGCAAGGACGCTACTAGGGGCTCCTGGCCTTACTTCTAGGAGC